ATATAAATGATAAAAGTATTAGAATTACAACCGCTAATTTATTTTTATTTTTATATCACCATATTTTTATTTAAAATGTATTCTTTTCTCTCACTTCATCCGCCATTACTAGCATAAAAAAAATCTCAGGTCCGGCCGCAATGCATTATGGGATGTGCTGGGCCGGGAATGATCCATCGGACCAGTCCTTCAAATCGGGGAAAAGGAAGGACGTATTTGTCGGCCGCATCGGAGGAGTCTTCGGTTTTGGACGTCCTTCGTCGCAGCGCTGTGACGTCTGCGGCTGACAAATTTGGCCTTCGGAGGACCCGGCCTGCCGTTTTGGACACAGCTTTAAAATAGTTTCAGTGAATACAATTCTGAAATGTCTACATGGAGTGACCCATCTTCGTACATAAAGGATCTTTGTAACACATGCTCGGAGCGGCACAAGTATCATTTCTTTTGTAAGGGAGTSATTCGTCTTATCAAATAAAACATCTTTGAGGCACTTGGTGGGTTCCTTCAGTTTCCTGGTTGCCATGGGAAGGCGGTAACAACACAAGGTAGCTTTAAACCTGAGAAAACACGATAAAGATGTCCGGACCTGAGCAGTTAGCTCTTTTGGAGCTGAACATGCGAAGGGAGACGTGGTGTCAGGTGGAGACGGACCCCCGGCAGAGCTGGGAGCGGTCTGAGAGGAGACACCACCGGAGCCACCTGAGGACCAGCCCGGCGCTGCTCACCGCTCTGACCGGTGGACAGCAGCGCGGGCCGGCCTGCACCCAGCGAGCGGCCCCGGCAAAACTCCCGGAGAGAAAACACTTTGAAGAGAGCTGTGAGGCGCCTTTAATCCCCGTACATATGCACATTTAAAGTCATTAATATTTTATAACACTATTATTGTTTTATTTTTCTTTTCTAGATGAATGTCACCTGGTGTAAACACCTGGCAAGAAGCTGGAACAAAACAGCAGAAATGCACAATTCTCTGTGTTTTATTGGCATAAACTTTGTACAAAACCATGAATAAATAAACGAAAATGTATCAAATGATGTGCATAATTAGGAATCTGAGCTRACAATTAAATATCCATCCCTGTTAATGAGTGATCGGAAAGTGTGCTGATTTTAGGGAAGAGTCTGTGAGCGTTCTGAGTCGTGACCGTCTGGACGGTTTGTGGCGACAGACCTTTGACCTTAGCGATGTAGCTGCAGGACAGACTGATGCTGCTGGGCTCATTCCTCACCTGACAGGAAGGGTTAAAAGGCAGAAAAACATCWGTCTTCATGTTACAGCAGGTAACGGCGGTGAACTTTAAGTCATGAAACTTACATATTTGTCGAGCCCCAGGGCAGGAGAGTCTGTTTCCAGGCAGATGTGCTCCAGCGGGATCTGCRTAATCAGTTTGTCTCTCTGGGAAAAAAATGACAATTTATTTTGTTGCTTTGTTGTTGTGGGGTGATTCTGCAGCTTCTAAAACACCCARGGAGACATTATAAAAAGGTCACAATAAAAACAGCCACATAGTGTCATTTGCTGGGAACACCTTTGTGCATTACTGTGCAAAAGATTAAATCTGCTAATGGTGGCACATCTGCCTACATGAAACTTCAGTCTGGATCCTGTTTATGGTGGTGATGTGACCGCTGTACCACGCAGGCTGGATGTTTATTGTAAACACTAAACTTGTTCAGAGGCTCATTTCACAAAAGTCAGATTTCTAAACCCAGGATATGAGCTGTAAGCTGAGCTTGAACAAGCTTTTAACTGGTAATCTGTTGCTCTAACACCAAGCCATGCTCAACCAGGCCAGCTGTAAATGGTTTAAACCAGGGCTTCTTAACCTTTTTGACCTCGGGGCCCAATTTGTTGAACATAAAGTGACACAAGGCCCAGTCAGACATTACC